GCTGTGGAATTGGTCACCTACCCTCTCAGTGTCCTAACCAGCCTAACCAATCCCGTGCAGCGCCACAGGCCAACTATGCTACTTACTCCGATGCTGGTTCGCAATCAGGATCTACTTGGAAGCCCGACACTGGCGCAAATCACCATGCCACTCCAGATCTATCTAGCCTTGACAACTCCGTTTACTTGTTGGTAACGGTAACTCTATACCCATCTTTCACATTGGCTTCTCAAAACTTTACTCCCCTAACAAAACCTTTAAATTATCCAATATACTTCATGTCCCTGAACTAAGACAAAACCTTTTATCCGTTCAAAAATTTTGTGTCGATAATCATGTTTTCTTTGGCATAATTCATCGCCGTTCTTGTCCCCATACAAGCGAACAAAATGGCATTGTAGAACGTCGTCATCGTCATGTTGTCGAAACTGGACTCACACTCCTAGCCCAATCCAGTCTTCCTCAACGCTTCTGGCATTTTGCTTTTCAAACCGCCGTATACTTAATAAATCGACTCCCCTCTCGTGTCTCCTCCAACAAATCTCCCTATGAACACGTTTTCAAACGCAAACCTGATTACCCCTTTCTTCGAGTCTTTGGATGTCAATGTTTTCCCTATCTTCGTCCGTATAACCATCACAAGATTGATTTTCGCTCCACTCCGTGTGTCTTCCTTGGCTACAGTCCTGTTCACCATGGTTACCGGTGCCTTGATCCTTCCACTGAACGGATATACATAGCCAGACATGTTTGTTTCAATAAGCATGTTTTTCCCTATCAACCACCTACTTCTACCCACTCTCCATCCCAACCCGACTCTCCATACATATCTATTTTCCCTACCCCACCACCCGGTTTTCCAACCGAACCCAACTCACCACCACCACCACCTTCCGTACCACCTCCACAACCCGAAACAACGCCACCACCACCTTCCGTACCATCTCCACAACTTGATACAACCCCACCAACCTCACCCTCCCAAACCCCTAACCCCGGGTCCTCACCAGACCCGAATCCCGCCCCCACCCACTCACCTCCAGCCTCTCGGCCTCTTAACCTTCGTCCCAACCCTAAACCCACACCCGATACGCTGCCACCACTGCCACCACTACCCCTACCTTACCTATTGAACCTACCTCCTTTACCGTTGCCAACAAGTCCCTAGAATGGCGCCAAGCAATGGCTGAAGAGTTGACTGCGCTTCATCGAAATGGCACGTGGACATTAGTTCCCCCTGTTCCTAATACTAACATGGTTGATTGTAAATGGGTTTACAGGTTGAAAACAGATGCGAATGGAAAGATTAGCAGGTACAAGGCCCGGCTTGTTGCCAAGGGATTCCATCAACAACATGAAATTGACTATCACGAGACTTTCAGCCCAGTAATCAAACCTGCTACTATCAGAACCGTGTTGTCACTGGCCGTCACAAATAAATGGTCTCTACGTCAGTTAGATATCCAGACTGCATTTTTACATGGTGATCTTCAAGAGACCGTTTACATGCGCCAACCTCCTGGTTTTGTTGATCCTAACAGGCCAGATCATGTGAGCTTACTGAACAAGTCGTTATATGGGCTCAAACAAGCTCCTCGTGCCTGGTTTACAAAATTGTCTACTGCTCTTCAACAGCTGGGATTTTGTGGGTCTAAAACCGACCCTTCTCTCTTCATTCTCAACTCTGATGACACGCTCGTTTATCTTCTTGTATATGTCGATGACATTATCATCACCGGTAACAACCCAGCTGCCGTAACTACCATCATTGATCGTCTCAACTCTCTATTTGCTCTTAAAGATTTGGGCCAACTGCATTATTTCTTGGGCATTGAAGTGGTACACCATGGTTCTGATTTACTTTTGTCTCAACGAAAATATATTCTTGATATTCTTCACCGAGCTGGTCTTGCGGATTGCAAACCTATTTCATCTCCTATGAGTACCTCTCAAGTACTCTTACTCGATGACAGTCCCTTACTTGATGATCCCTCTCGGTTTCGGCAGACAGTCGGGGCC